TAATGCCACACTTAATGAATCCTTCGGTATTCCCTGAATCCCACTTTGGGGCTGATGATGCGCAGCCCCCTCCTCGCTCCTTCCCAGCCCCCGGTGCTCTCAGTGGGGTTGGGCCCCATGGAGCACAGCCCCGTCCTCCTAGGGGAATAAAACCGTGTTCCCCGGGGAGCCCAGGGCCCGCGGCGAGGCGGGCTCGGGCAGGAGGTTGCTTACGGTGCCGTACGGTCCATCCCCGGCTCCCTCGGTGGGTGGCCTCTGCCCGGCTGCCTCGTGCTTTGGAGAAGGAGCGTGGAAAGCCTTAATATTTGGAATATTGAGTTTTTGCTGCGTCGCCAACACCGAGACTCTGCCTGCGTTAAAAATGCCTCATGATTATGCCGTCCTTTAAATTTAAACGATTTCTAATGGCATTCGTGACGACTTTCTCGAAAGTCAATACATCCTACCACCAGCCCACAAACCTCCACAAGAATAAAAACTTTGCTAAAATGCTACATTTCTGTTAATCAAAATCCATATGGCCAGAAATATAGCATTGTTTCTTAATAAGGCTGAAGCATCCATTTTACGCAGGTATTTAACAGATGGTGTAGCACAGAGAACTAATGTTGTTCAGAAGTTCATACATTATGCATTTTTGGGGGGGGCATTTCAATTTTATTCTTCCCAAGTGGGAAAATTCCATTACACAAAGTGAAATGGAAGCTGGCGTTTAACAAGAGGTCCTGGGGATGTATTTTTCTCTGATTAAATTATCCGGAGTTTTAGCGCAGTCGTAGCAGGGGGAAGGTGAGTCCCCGGGGCTGCTGGTGGACGGGGTTGCTTCTGGAGGAGCCCAAAGCTGGGCAGGTGGACGAGCCCTTGGCCAGAACCCTGGCAGTCCGTCCCATCAGCATCTTTGACGTCTCTCGACAGCTATCGCTCGGGTCATTTCAGGAACGGCCGCCCGAGCTTTATGCAAAACACAAAGGCTATTTTTCAGCTGGTGGAAGAAAGAGGAACACGGCGCGTGTCGCTGTGAGAGGGGCTCTGCGGATGTATGAATAGACCGACTAGACGGTCCATCGACAGAGGCTGAGTTTGGAGACAGGAACATGATTTTAACTAACAGTTCTGCGGGTTTCAAACTGCTAAATGTCTCCATGCCAGAGCTTTCTGTTTCCCATGGTGAGAAGCTTCTGGCTGGCACTCTACAGCTGGGCACCCGATGGTGGTCGGGGCTATTTCTTCCCACTCGTTCTTTGGTTTGTGTTGGGGTGGCAGAATCCCAGACTGGTGGGGGCTGGAAGGGCCCTCTGGAGCTCCCCCATCCCACCCCCCGCCAGAGCAGGGGCACCTCCAGCAGTGGCACAGGACGGCGTCCAGGCGGGTTTGGGATGGCTCCAGAGGGGGAGACTCCCCCACCTCTCTGGGCAGCCTGTGCCACTGCTCTGCCGCCCTCACAGCAGAGAAGGCCCTCCTCAGGGTGAGAGCTCAGAGATGGGAATGGTGGTCCCAGGAGGCAGAGAGCAGCCACCACTCCATCCTGGCTGGTGGAACAACGGCACCTCGGGGCAGATGGGTGTTTGCTACCAGAGGTTTTGTTGAAGTCGCTGGTGGGAGCCGTTGGCGTTGTGCCTCGTGGCAATGGAGGACCTGTTCTCTGCCTGATTTTCTCACCGAATGTAGTGACAGGACGAGGGGGAATGGCTTTAAACTGGAAGAGGGCAGGTTTAGATTAAACATTAGGAAGAATTTTTTCACTTTGAGGGTGTAAGGCACTGGCACAGGTTGTCCAGAGAGGTTGTTGAGGCCCCATCCCTGGAGGTGTTCAAGGCCAGGCTGGAGGTGGCCTTGGGCAACCTGGGCTGGTGGGAGGTGTACCTGCCCATGGCAGGGGGGTTGGAACTCGATGATCTTCAAGGTCCTTTCCAACCTAAACCATTCTATGATTCTATGCAATTTAGGAAGGAAAGTGGAGGCTGAAGGTCACAACCCTCTGAGGGTTCCATGCGCAGCAGAAAGGCCATCGCTTTGGCCCTGGGATGGAGGGGGGAAAGGTTTCCACTGCAGTGGCAGCGTTTGGTCACCCTCCGTGCGTGTCCATCCCTTGGGGTGCGACGTGCTGTGTGTCCCCCCATGCACGGGGCTCTCCCTTGCAGCGGGGGGGGGGCGAGGAAGGTGGGTGGCCGTTCGGAGATCGCGCTGTGCCACGTGTATGAAAAGAATCATTGGTTTTAAGGAAAAAACGCCTTCCATTTCCTCTGCAGATTTGGCACTGAGGAAGCAAATTACCTGCTCGGTTTTTCCAAGTAGGTCTCAATCACCCCAACCAGTGGAGGGAAACGAGCCGAGGATTGCTCTGGTTACAGTACTTTGTAATCCCCCCGCCCCC